TCCGAGCAGTGCCAACAACTTCATTTTCATATTTCAGTTTTTACACTAATTGCATAAATTGCACCGCATTGCGCACGAAATTCTGGATCGTCATTCGAAAGACGAGATCTCTTCCTATTTACTCATCAGCCGATCCCTCTGACGTTTTCACGTCCAACGTGGAAGTAGAACGACGTCTCATGGTTGTCGCAGACGTCCAAGAAATCACGATTTGAGAACTCGCTCCGGAACAGAAAGAAGAAGGAGCGAGCGGAAAACTACGTGGAATGCGTGCGTAGCGTAGCGGGTGGCGTGTACTTTGTGATGCAAATTAATGCACGATTACCGAAACACCCCTCGCCCACCCTTGCACGACCACCGGTGACTCCTTACCCTCGTAGTTACCCTTACTTTTCTTCGTGCAGGTGTACGTGGCACGTACGTGTGTGTATGGCACAGCGAGGACGTGTTTCGAGGTATATACGTGTAATAAGTACGATCCGCCTCCACCCCCGTGACTCGATGCTTACCCCGGCATTAGGCCTGGTTACACGCTCTCGCCCCCTTCTCTTCAGGTTCTAATCTGATGTAACTATTACATACGTTACGCGGTATCCATATAGTCGAAATGGCTATGCGCGTGGAGTCTTGATGAAAACTCATTTCTTCATACCCAACCATCATCCGCCGTGTCCTCGTAACGATATATATACTCCACTTTCCAGTCGACCGTTAATTTATACTCTTCGAGAACACCGTTCTTTTTTCGCACCCAAAAGACATGTTCGGAAAAATATCCAGACAATAGAAAGTCCAAAATTGGGACACGTAAGACATCTCATAGGCATCTAAAAGATGTCTTTCAGACAGATTTTAAGGAACTGTCTAGAAAACAGAATCTTTAACACAATTTTTCGATTTTGGACTTTGTATTGTCTAGATAATTTCTAATCTCCCTCCGTTTCTCATTGATTCCCTTCGTACATATTTTTCTCCATAAATGTAAAACAAGTTCGTAAAGATCCGTGACAAATCCGACCACGCGAAGAGTCCAGCAACGAAACTTTGGCTTCTATAAGCGGATTGCACATGTATTGCAGCTCGAAGGGCTAAATTCCGCGCAGTGATTTCAAGGTGTCAAGTTTTACTTGTTAAAGGTATACGATCTACGATCGCGTCTCGATTCCCGACGACGAGCAGCGAAGAATGCATGAGCTTTTTGTCACGAGACGGGATTACTTTCGGCTGATGGCGACGTTCGCCGGGCAATCTCGTCGGTCCGCGTCCCGCAGGGATGAAGTCTCCCGTAATGAGGATTGAGCGATTATTATAAATCAGACGAACCGGAGGCCACGGTGAGCGTCGCGTTTCTCGCGTGCCACGTGTTTTGCCGATGTTACTCTCGCAAACACGTGTTCCGCCCCCTTACCTTTTTCCCTTTCTTTTTCCACTTGCTCTCCTCGCTGACAACGCATGCAAACGTTGCACGTTGCAAAAATGCAACGTGAACAATTTTTAAATAAAATAAAAATGTATGTATAGAAACTGCGCTTCAACTATTTTAAAAAATTTTTATGCCGGAAGTACTACACATACAATTATTATTGACCGTTTCTATATTTCAAATTAATGTTATACTTCTTATGTAAAAGATAAGATTCTGAAATTTTTTGACATTGCAATATTTATATCTTCAAAAGTACGGACTAATTGTAAGATTACAACACACTGAAGATGGCACGAAATAAAGCCGAAACGTTTGTAATTATTATTATTCATGTTACATTGATTAAATGTTTATAAATTAGAAATTTGATAATCGTTTTCGCACTAATTACTGCGCATAAACTCTCATTAGTTGTTTTTTATCTTATTTGACTTATATCTTTATACTAATAAAATATTTCATCGCTTCCCTTATTTACATAGTAATTTATTTACTTGATTCTTTTAGTGAGTAATAAATATTAATACTTCTAGTGTTAATAAATCGTCATTATTATCGTGACTAACTAAGTATCACAGAATCTTTTCTATTCTTGTTTAAAACACATTGAATATATTCTCAAATCTATTTCTGTCATAATCATTATTAACAGAATCTTTTTCTAATAATTTTGTTCTTTTTCTTTTAGAAAATTTACGAAATCACGGAGATTATATCTTATCAGCGTTAAAAAAGAAAATGAAAGCGTGTTACTTAAAGCTTAATACGAAAAATATATATAAAATCACAATCGGTCATTCCCATCGATTCGTAAATCTGAGATTTCCGGGAATGAAGCGAGACGCGAATGGAGTTCGAGTCGATTTGAGAACCGCGGCAGCCGCGGTAAATCGCCGGTAAGGTCACGCTTTTACGTGTAAGCCCTAAGCGAAATCTAGTTTTTGTTTATTCATTAGGCTACCCCGCGCTTTAAGTGGTACGTGAAGGAAGGCCTCGCCGCAGCAGCGACGTCGGGGGGGAATGGGGGGGGGGGGGAATAGGCCTACATGCGCACGACATCTCGCTCGGATCGTGAACACGTTACCCACGATAATCTACGCTCGTTTCCAGCACACTTTGCACGTTTATGCGTATACCAGAGACGGCTACCGTGCGAACGTGTTACCTTTTCGTCGCTATCGTCCCGATGCTCCTTTCCACCGGTTTTCGACTTGGATTTATCCTGTATCAATTTTAGCTTATTTTGTTGGCCACAGTTTATCACCGACGCAATCGTGTTTGATGGAGAAGTAAAAAATTCTCTAAAGTCCAAGTACGATCACGGAACGATTTTGCCTGATTTATCGATGTGAAAGAAATTAAGCATATCAAATTGCTTATATATATTTCTTTAACATTTCTCATTTAATAAATTATATATACATAATCAGGAAGGTTGACTTTTAAGCGTACGCTTTACGTGCGGTTTATCTGCGACAATGTTCAAGGTTAACACTGACGTACTACGCTTGAGCAACGTTCATTTCATCTTCCATAAATCGTGTCGTACGGAATTATCTCGTCCGTCGATGCGCACCACGAAGGGGTGGGGGGGGGGGGGGAGCGGGACCAAAAAATACAAGTTGGTTGCGCGTGTCCGAGCGGATAAGCTTTCGAGAGCGCGGTAAGAAAAATCGGCGAGAAGCGCGGGTGAGAAGAAAGGAAAGAACGAGAGACCGAGAGAGGGACGATGGGGGAGGGGAGGGAGGAGGAGGAGGGCGGGTAATTAGAATAATTCGGGCCGCTGTGGTTCACGCCATCCGGACGAATTTGCATTTTAAATGAAGCGATGGCGTGCCAAGAGCCTCACCGTGCAGGCGGAGAGAGGAGGAGAGAGAAGGAGCGAGAGAACGAACGAGAGCGGTAGAACTTTGTACTTTATAAGTAACTTTAATATTTATCGCTTATATCCCGACCGAATAAGTATATGTATATATCCACCCTCTCTTTCCTTCCCTGCGACCACCGCCGCGCCACGGGGTTCGCTCTGTGCTTATGCTCAAGCACAGCCCCCGCGACTTCCTTCTCGGTTCTCTTCCATCTCATGGCCCCCTCGCGATCCCCCACCGTGCTATCAGATAATTATCGCGTAATTAGCACCGCTGATTTTCGTGTCGCGTCATCGCACACGCACGCGTACACGACGATGATTTCAGCTTTAATCTGTTCCGCGGTGATGATATTCTGTGAGGATTCCGTCGGCGATTTCGTTGAGTGATAAGGTCGGATTCTTTTTTTTTTTTTTTTTAATATTTTAAGTCCTAACGACCATAGCAAAAGTCAGGCTGACTTAATCTTAAGACAGTGTCTTATGATATAAGTCTTATGTCTTTAGTAACGCACAGAAACAGTCTTATGACTTTTGTTTTAAAGGCATATTTATATACCTTTAAGACATAAGTGATAGTTCTTTTGTTTGCGTTACTAAAGACATAAGACTTAAATCGTAAGATATTGTCTTAAGATTATAAATCAGCTTTCTGCTAAGGTCCTAAGAGATAATCTGTCGTCGCATGTATCGATAACCCCGCAAACAATAGAGTAGTAAGCCTTAAGAAATTGATCAATCACAGCCGAATGTGAGAAGAATAATCGACCATGATTGGTCAATTCCTTAAAGACTTACTACTCTATTGTGTTTGTGGGGTAATTGGCAGGAATTTCCGATGCGAGATATCGAAGGAAGAGATACATCGCTGGCACACGTGCGTCGTGCGGAACACAGAAATATCTCCGAAAATGTAATATATTAGGTCAGATTTTATTATCATATCAATGAAGAATAATCTTCAGGGTTGGGTAAGTTAACTTTTTTTTTAAACTAAATTAAGTTAAAGTTAACAACCTTGAAAATTTAACTTAATTAAAATATAAGTTAATCTATAATAAAATTAATTGAATTAAAAGTTAAGTTAATAAAAAAAGTAATTAAAAAGTTTAAAAGTTAAATTTGGTTCGAACGAATAACCAAAAAAAAAAAAAGAAAAAGCTTGACTGATTAATTTCTCGTATTTTTCCTTTCTTACAGCTTATTTATTAAAGAATCTGGTTTTTTTTGTTCACAAGTAATTATATAATATAAAATTATTAAATTATATACTCATTAGCCTCTCGCATTGTATCTAAGGATTGACTTCAAAAAATTCAAATTAAAAGTTAATAGTTACTGATAAAATGTAACTAAATTAAGTTAAAAAGTTAAGAGTCTAAAATGTAACTAAGTTAAGTTAAAATTAATTAACTTTTTAATTTTTTAACTTAACTTTTATCTTTTTAATTTGGTACTACCCAACTCTGATAATCTCCCTTTGTAGTATTATATCTTTTTCATTAAAACGTAAAAACCACTGCAAGGATAAACGCGGGAGCAGTCTTACATAACACATGACACATAAAAACTGGATCAATTAAAACCCTTCATTTTCTTCCTTTTTATGAAATAAAAAACTATGATTGATTTTCTTATTCATTATACATTATGCATTATGCAAAAATCTGTCCTCCGGTCTTAATTAAAGCGCATTAGCGAACAACGAGTTGAGAAAATTTAGAATCATCGTAGACACTCCGAAAAAAGTAAAATACAATTCAAAAAGGTAGAAATAATCAAATCCACAAGAATCATTAATTGCTGTTCACCAGTCAATCAGGATCTTATGTCGGCGATGAGCAAATACAAGCGTACATTACGACAAGGGGTAAGTTTTTCTCAATACGCAAATACATGGTATCGATGGTTCATGAAAGTCGACATTGAATTATCGGGCGAGGTAACGCGATAAGTACTGAGCGAATAATGAGACGTCAGGCGGATCGGTTTAATTAGGAGGCAAGAAACCTACCGGATAATTTATTTATCCAGCCAGGGCGTGTACGGCCACAATTACACGCGGAAACGTCTATCACGCGGTGTGTTTCTAGTGAGAGGAAGAGGGAAACGCAGCCCTGTACGTACCTGTTGATTTTTTTATGATATCGGTCCGAGGTGCTCCTCAGCTTCCGTGTAGCATTCGATCTCCTCGAAGACTTCCCTCGTAACTAGTTTCGCATCGAAGATGCGATGTGTCCCACGTTCTCCGCTCACCTCCGGTCTTTCCCAATGTTGTACTTGCCGGTTTCTCGGTTCAAATCGCCGACATTGCACGACGTGTGCGTTGCCGTGCCTCGTCCTGGCGAGACGTCGTCCTGATGTGCGTCGCACGCACTCCTCGTTTCACGCAGGAAGTGACTTCGCTTTCACGGCAATGAGACGTGGATGCGACACGAAGCCGGAAAGATGGATAGAAAAAAAAAAGAAAAAGAGAGCGGAAAAGAGGTTGACTGTATAATGGTACACCTACAAGGACACGTCAGATGACAAGAAAGTTTCTCTCTGTTCCGCTCTTTATCTCGGCATTTCCTTCCGCGCGTAGCTCGTCCTCTATCTTTATTCCGCTCCGATAATAGTGTAACGTGCAGTCTTCTGTGATTTTGAATTGATGAAATCACGAGGTATATGTTTCTTTCTTTACTCTGGGAAAGAAGCGCGCATTCTGCAAGGTTCCTTTAAAGGTCCGATCAATCATCAAGATCACGGCTTAACCATCCCGTCAGCAGGATCGCACTGAACGTAACTGTTCGCACAGAAGCAACGTAGAATCCCAACGTAGAATCTTATCAGTCAATCTTCCTTCGGATCAAACGTCGGGCCAAACATCGGATCAAACGGAAAAGCCTTCTTAACTCCTTGTCCTTATTGTTCCACTTCCGTTACCGCACTTTAGTTAGGCTCACTGGTAACCCACGCGTTCAACTTCCGTCTTGTTCGGAAAAAGCTGCACCATCGGAAGTCGCAGGCTCGTAGCCGCGATTCCTCGATCGTTTCTTCCTCTTCTCGGCAGGCCGGCGCTCATCACCTCGTACCCGTGGCACAGAGCACGTGCAGTTACTCCTGGTAGCCGGCGGAGTGGCAGGTCTGCGCGACGCGAGGGCAAACTCGCGGTGGAGACCGCAAACTGCGGTCGGCCGCTCAGCAAACGCGTTCGAGGAGGACGTGGAGCGTCGACGGAGGCGGAGGCAGGAGGGAGGTCGCGGCACAAGCACAGGTACCAGAACGTGGCAAGGGCGCGAGAGCGCAGCGAGAGGAATATACGCTCGCGCGAAAGAGGTAGAGAGAAAGAGATGAAGAGAGAAAGACAGAAACGCAAAGTGGAAGCGAGAAAGAAAGTGAGGCGGTCAGGACAGGATGATGTGGACCACGCGGAGGACACGGCGTGTCTGAAGTGGGCTCGGCCCGCAAACGGGGGTTACGGGCTTTGCTTTCGGTCAGGTCCCCCGTACCCGTTACCCTCTGCCACCGCCTGTGTCTACTCCTGGCTCAGTCGTACGTGTCGTGTGTGTACAGCGGAGCGAGGAAGAGTGAGTGAGTGAGTGAGTGAGTGAGAGAGAGAGAGAGAGAGAGAGAGAGAGAGAGAAAATGCATGAAAACAAGAAACAGACCGAGAGGGAGAGATTGAGAATGAGAGTGGCTCGTGGCCCGTGGCCCGGGTCGTGCCCACGGCGAAACGCGGCCCGTGGCCCCCGCTGGGAGAAAGAAAAAGAGAGAAAGAGAGCTTGCAACATTGGAGGGATTGACTCGGTCAAGGGGAATAAGAGAGAGAGAGAGAGAGAGAGAGAGAGAGAGAGAGAGAGAGAGAGAGAGAGAGAGAAGAACCGGGGGTGGGCGGGCAGAACACGCGTTCTCCCTCGTACTTATTACTTTGCCTTGCCTCCTCGTCGAAGCTCCTCCGAAGGGCTCCTACTCCTTCCTCGTATTTTCGTACCCCATCCGTTCTCTCTTTCTCTCTCCCTCTCTCTCTTCTTCACCGCTTTTCTCTCTCTCTCTCTCTCCCCCGCGCGCTCTTGTGCGCGCGCACGCACGCACGCTCGTGCGCGAGGGGAGGTGGGAGGACCGCTCTTGCTACCGCAGGTTATAATTAAAGGGTTTCCACGCGGGGCCCGTCGCGACGGCGTATTTCGTAGGACCGCACGAGAGCCTTCATCTATGGCCAAACGATAGCTTTTCGACGAGAGTATCGATTCGCGCATTAAAAATGCTTCTGGAAGAATTTACCGAGCGCCCGGAGCGCCTTTTTCGGAATATTGTGTCCCGCGCAAGTATTTTTTCATTCTAGGCTTTCTGGAACGTTCTTCATTACTCGTTCTTAATTTCAAATCCATCGCCTGATTTACATCGCTGTAATATGCGATTCGCACGAGCTTGGAGCATTTATATGCGTGACAATTACGTCTTGTGGAAAATTTTTCAACGCTGCGAAACTTTTTCACGTAACACGCAAGCACGATTACTCGCACAGCTACCCTTGACTACACTGAGAAAAATAGTTTGATTTAAATAGTAATTCTGGTGGAAAAATAAGAATTCTAAATGATATAATTATTCTGGTAAAAATAAGAAATTTAGATTTTCCGGAAATATTGTATCAAGAATTCCAGTTATCTCTATAACTAAAATTCTAATAAATTTAATTAGAAAATTCTGATTCGTCTATTTTCGACCAGAAATCTTTTTCAGTGTAGTGTACCAAGCTTTAATTAAATAATTTCATAAGGAAGAATTTATATATTTCATTTATATATTTCATTACACGTATTTTTATATATTCGATATTTTTTTTAAATCTAAAAATATTAAATGACATAGATTCAACGTTAAATCTGATCGATCCTAAATTTTACTCGTTTAAGGGTAAGGGTGATGTTCAATGTCAATAGGACACGAGGCGGGCGGTCGCGTTTAACGCTAAATGTATGGCGCGAACACGGACCTTTTGTCTCTCGTTTTCTAAACACGCGAGATGTTTGTAAGGCGAGGTTGTGTAATACCCGCAACACCATTTGAAGAAGAGACGTAATCGGCTTGGATGTGTCCAGACACGCAAGAATCTATACAATCGATAGTCCGTCCCCCGACAAATTCCACGAAGATCGAAGTACAAGATCGTCTCGCAAAGCTCCTGGACGTAATTTGAGTCAGTCAAGGACTCCTTGACTGAGTTCTTACGCAAGAGGCGTATCGTTTTCTCGACAATTATATACCCAGGATACCCCTTGTCTCGTGCGAGCCGGCATCACCGAGTTAAAACGATCTCCTCCACTGACGATCCGCGAAATGCCAGGTTCGACATACCGTCTCGGAATCTTCATCGATCACGAAGGACGCGAAGGTCGGTTGGTATACATCCGCACGATTCGAAAGGTTTCACCCCGCCAAGAAATAATAATTTGCAGGTATACTCGCGCGAACATTAGTTAACTTGGCTTTCGCGTGCCTCTTCGCTGATCATCTTCTCGTCCTCTTGCTCCCGTTTCGCTCTCCCGCCTGTTCTAGATCACGTTTCGCGCAACAGAAACATTATTTCAAGAATCAGAGTTGAGAAGTAAATTTGTTGTTCGCGTATACAGAAACAGACAAAGCTTTCGAGTATATATATTTTAAGCCAATTTCCTATTGACAAGATGAGTTAGCACGTCACAAGTTTCGTGGCGTTTAATGTATTGGAGTGTCGAATAACAAATAAACAAGAGGGTAACTTTACCGTACTCGGTTTCTGTAACGACCCCCCGTGGAGTAATTGTAGGACCCCTTGATTCCTGGCACCCTTGTACCCTTGTCTCTCCCGATGTCAGCGCAGGTTGCGCTCTTTCACGGATCATCGCCTGTTAACCAGTATTTCCGACTCGTTGCGGTCGGCCCAAATGTTATATGCCGCTGGATCTCTCAAACACCTTTGTCCCGTTTCACTACTTTTTTCTCTTCGATTTTTTCAGACCTAACGAGGACGCAATCGATTTCGTTAAAGTTAGTAGCAACTAAAGTTGTAAAATATACCTGTTTCAAGTTTCATTTTAAGCTGGAGATGAAGAACGGATTAATTTTTTTGCGCAAGTCGATATATCATCTTTACATCTTGTGCCTCTTTTATCTGTTCGGTTCGCATAAAAGTCGTTAAAAAATGGAAAGAGGACATCATATTTCGGTGATTATTAGCTAGATACCCGCGCACGTAAACTAGGATACGAAATTACGTTACCACATCGCCTTATCAGATTCGACATAATAGCGGTGATGGGACAACCCCTAACAAGGTAGAGATCAGATCATTACGACAAATTAATTTACGATCGCTGTGCGGAGTACTTTAAGAAAGAAGGTTACGAATTATGAGGCGTATCTGGTTGGGTCCAAATGTGTCCTGTGTGTTCAGGACAGGTGAGCAATTTTCACCCTTCGGCTTTCATTCCCTTGGCGTCTGTCCGGGCTTATCTGGCAGACTTCGGTTTTCGTTGATGGTGTATTCCCTCAAAGGAGCTAATATTCTTGCCATTATAATTGGATAATATTATCGGAAGGATGTCATTAAGATTTCTTTTGGCGAGTCTTTTTGCTGACAAGCCACGTGAAATTTTGATACAATTGTTGTCTGATCAATTTACTTCTGGCGCACAATATTTTATAAAAAAAGAATGAAACAAAGATGCTTACGAATAGAAAAGATGTTTGCCTTGTTTCTCTTTCTTGTTGGTTTTCTTAACAATGATCTCAACTAAAATATGCAGCTGCCGCCTGTCGATCCATCAAAGATATTAGGAACGCGTCCGTTCCCTTTTCGTTCGTCTAGAAATCGTCTTTTTACTTCGGTTATAACGCCGCAAATTTCACGGCGGCACCTCGATCAAATATTAATCTCATGGATGAAACTGTAATTTATGAAGAAACGACGAAGGATAAGGAATCTACGAAAAAAAGTGTGTGCAAGGTGCACCCACCATTTCTATAAGGCTATTAGGACGGAAGCAGGTAAGCTGGCCAATGTATTTTCCTGCCTGTATTCCCTTTCTTTCTTCGAGAGGACGCGAAGAAATCTTAAGCCCTCAGATCTCGCTCGAAAACATTAATGATTTTTCCGCATCGTCATTTTCCAAGATCACGTTCCCGTGTCGCCTGATGTGCGGCATCGCGTAAAGACGAATTAGATTATCATTTGCGAATAAGCATGCCATTTTTCGCCGATATCGCGCATTATGTGCGAGTCAACGGATATGGCTGGCGGCTGGATTAAACTGTTACGTCCGCCCTCTTCCACTTACTTACCCCGTCCGTCAGATATCGAGCTTCGAATTCCGGTCAAAGCTACCCTGAAGCAGCGTCGATTCCCAGAGTCGTAGGATCGATGACCAACGTACACCACCACCCTCCCGTTCGTCCCCTACCGTTGGCCGTCCTACCGGATCCCGGCTCTCTTAACGACGACGATAATATCGCGCGATCTGAGTGGCCCGATGACACCCGCGCTGATACACCCCGGCCCTGTCATTGGCCGACCCGCCGGATGGATGGTATTAGGGGGTTTCGCCGATTGGCGGCCTCTTTGGAACGCCCAGGAAGGATGCGCAGCTGCCAGGACATGCGTAATCCGTCGGCTTGATCGACGTCGAGGGAGTAAATGCACGACGTAACGATCATTCCCACGTAGTAGATGCACCACCACTTCGCCATTTCTTCCCCATAGGCGACACTTGACATTCTCACCGCCGACCATCCCCTGCCTTTTGCCCTTAAACGTAACGCAACCGCGGTGAATTTCAGCGAGTCAATTTGAGTTAAATCCCACGCTGCTTTAAAAATTAATTGATACTGTCTAAAAGTGATGGTGCACGTCCTTTAAATCTCATGCCGTTTAAAAATTAACTGACATTGTCACATTTGTCTCGAAGCGACACGTCAGAATTTATGTGAATGAATCATAAAACGAAAATAAAATATTTATTTCATGAGACGTCAACTCTCTGATTGAATCGCAAATTTTCTTCGTAATAGTTATTAGTTGACGATGATACAGTGTATTCGTCGCAGGTGCCGCGCAAATATCCACGAATGAGTGGAAAAAAATCTTGTTATTCGAGCGCGCAGTTTCGAGGAAAGCGAACGCTTGGAGCGGTGAGAAGAGAATTTCGATAATTGCAAGCAATTGCTTTATTATCCCAGCAGCAGGTGCCAATAATGGGCGGTGCTTCTATATCTGTCGGTTCGTAGCTTCGTTATACAAACAGTTCATCCTATTTATCCCATCGTTTTTCTTGCATCGGTCCGAAACTGAATCGCTAAAGGGCAAAGGGCATTTACCAGCCGCCTGTATAAAGATTGCGAGGAAAACGATTCGCACATCTGAATTTCTTTAACCAGACTTGATAACTCTTTTTTCGTTTTACGTTTAAAATTTGATTTATAATTGAATTTAAT